AGTATGGAGGATCCTCAAAAGACTAAGCGTAGAGCTTCCCTATGACCCAGCAATTCAACTCCTGATCATTCAACCTCTCATTTCCTTTTTCAAAAAGTGTTTAGTGAGTTTCATTTGTTGCTTTCATATACATGTATGATATCTTAATCCTACTCACCTCTCAGTATCCTTTCCTTTTCTTTCCTTCCTTCCTTCCATCCGTCCTTCCTTCCTTCCTTCTGTCTTTCCCTCCACCCTCCCCCTCTATTTATGCTAGTACTTGTACTTGAACTTGGGGCTTTGGCACTATCCCTGAGCTCTTTTGCTCAAGGCTAGTGCTCTACCATTCCAACTACATCTCCACTTCTGGCTTTTTTTGTGGTTAATTGGAGATATGAGAATCTGCTGGTTAATTGAAAGTAAGATGCTTATGGACTTTTCCTTTTGGACTTTTCCTTATGGACTTTTCCTGGGCTGGTTTTGAATGGAGATCCTCAGATCTCAGTGTCCCGAGTAGCTAGGATTACTGTGGGGAAACACTGGCATCCAGTCCTTTCCCTGTTTCCTTTTGCATCAATACCTCCTTATATTTATGCCTTATTATCACTATCATTATTGTCATCATCGTTATCTAGGTTTTGATTCTACAGATCAGTGTAAAGATGAAATTTGAATTTGGGAGCCTTGCTTATCTCACTCATCATAAAAGAATCACAAGTTATCCATTTAGAAGTATTTTATTTATAAAAATAAAAATCTCAACTACTATATCACATATAGTCATAGAAAAGAAAATGTTGAGAATAATGTATTCAAAGCTAATTGACAGCAAATCCAAAATTGCTCACTTCTTTCTGCTGGTTGGCACTTCTACTTAGAAGCCTTTCTTGGTAAAAAAGACTAGTGGGAAAGAGAGACATCTGTTCATAGAAGGAAGGAAAAATCAATCATCATTTTGGACAAGTCATACACAGGGATTCACAGAAGAGAGCTTAGTTCTAGCAGAGGGCTGCTGCTTTCACATCTTTATTTCTTTTCACTCCCATGAAATCTCTCTCTCTCTCTCTCTATTTTCCTTCCTTCCTTCCTTCCTTCCTTCCTTCCTTCCTTCCTTCCTTCCTACCTTCCTTTCTTTCTTTCTTTCTTTCTTTCTTTCTTTCTTTCTTTCTTTCTTTCTTTCTTTCTTTCTTTCTTTCTTTCTTTCTTTCTTTCTTTCCTTCTTTCCTTCTTTCTTTCTTTCTTTCTTTCTTTCTTTCTTTCTTTCTTTCTTTCTTTCTTTCTTTCTTTCTTTCTCTTTCTTTCTTTCTTTCTTTCTTTCTTTCTTCCCTCCCTCCCTTCCTTCCTTCTTTCTTTCTTTCTCTCTCTCTTTTTTTCCAATTTTATTTTCTTTAATCGATCTGTAACTATTTAGCCATACACCATCTTTTTTGTGTGATGAGGTAACAAAGTGAAACTTGCTTCAAAATCTTGCCATACCCCTCATCTTGAGTCTGAACAATGACCTGAAAATAATGTCCAGAGTCAAGAGCAGGGCCACAGGAAGGGAAGCCTTATAAAGCAGCATTCCCCCCGCTGATACTGCTGATTTGCAGATCTTTCTTTTCAGAACCAATACTTTGGTTGCATTGTTTCTATTCCATAAAGTATCTTTCTTTTTTTTCTTTTTCTTTTTTTTTTGGGGGGGTTCCGGTCGTGGGCCTGAACTCTGGGCCTGGTTGCTGTCCCTCAGCTCTTCAGCTCAAGGCTAGCGCTCTACCACTTGAGCCACAGCGTCAATTCCAGCTTATTTTTTTCTGCTTATGTGGTGCTGAGGAATCGAACCCAGGGCCTCATGCATGCAAGGCAAGCGCTCTACCACTGAGCCATCTTCCCAGCCCAAAATATCTTTCTTTAGAGAACTGTTTGTTAGTAAGATATGCAGACAGAAATAAAATATACAGCAATGAGAGTATTCTGTACAACCCACAAAGAATTTTCATGTGGGTAATAAAGAGAACACAAAAGGAAAGTTGCTGATGTGTAAGAAAGTGGGCGATAAGCACCGCTTCTTACTCTCATCAAATGACAGCTCTCTTGTTACTTTATTTCCTAGCTTTGTATTCACAGTTAAAAAATAATATTAACTACAGAAATAAAATAGCTTATTGTTACTAATATATATATATATATCGCACATGAAAGGGGAGGAATGTACTTAAATCTTAATTGTTTTCTGCTTTTCTTTTCCTGTGTATTTCTTTTGTGGCTCTCTCTTTCTGAGTCCCTGTACCTTACATATACATCAAGAGGAAGGATGAGGAAGTCTTCTATGGACATGGCTCTGGATAGTAGTGAAAGAAAAGTTTTTTTTGTCACCATGGTGGGTCAAACACAAGAGATGGTAGTTCCCTGCTGGTTTTTTAGGCTAACAGTAGGGCTTGAACTCAGGGCCCATATGCTGTTCCTGAGTTCTCTTTCTGATCAAGACTGTAGCTCTACTTCTTGAAGCACAGCTCTATTTCTGGCTTTTTGCTGGTTAATTGGAAATAAGAGTCTAATGGACTTTCCATTCCAGGCTGGCTTTGAACTTCAATCCTCAGATCAAGGTTACAGGTGTGAGTTACCAGCACCTGGAGATGACTTGATTTTAGTTTTTTAATTTTTTTTATTGTAAAGATACTGTACAGACAGGTTCCAGTCACATGAGTAAGGTAATGAGTACATTTCCTCTTGAGCATTGTTACCCTCTTCTTTGTTTTTTTTTTCCCAGCCATCCCTTGCTCCCCACCTCCTCCCTTCCTCCCACACCTAAAGTTGTAGAGTTCATTTTTTAAAAAGTGTCTTGTACATCTCATTGTTACAATGGGTCAACCTGTATCCTTGTTTCAGCATTTTGTTATTTCCCTTCCCCTCCCCAAATTAGAAAAATGTATATACAAGATGCAGGACACTGGAATCAAATACAGTGACAACAGGGATTATACCATGGGGGAAGAACATACAAAGAAACAAAAAAAAATTACATAGCACTTTATAAGTGCATTAAAAAGAACAGCAAGAAAAATAAAATCTCTTGTGTCTCTATCTATCTGGGGGTTCATTTCCCTTCACACCACCTTATGTGGTCATATGTGCATAGTTTTAACCTTTTCTATTTGTCTGGTAAGGTTATCCTACATGTATACTATTTATTGCTAATAAGGGAAACCATGAGAGGTAGTTTCTTTAGGTCTGGCTTACTTCGCTTAGTATAATTATTTCCAAGCCTTTCCATTTCATAACAAATGGAGCATTGTCATTCTTCCTGATAGAGGCATAGAATTCCATTGTGTGTGTGTGTTGGGGGGAAAGAGAGGCATCTCTTCATATATATGTATATATGTATATATATATATATATATATATAGTTAATTTCAAAGAACAACTCTTTGTTCTATGTTTTTTGGACTCTAATTAATTTAATTCTGATTTAATTTTAATTATTTGTTTCCATCTACTGGATTGGGGTTTAAATAGTTGCTCATTTTCAAGGAGCTTTAGGTGCCTTGTTAAATTGTTGGTTTCAGATCTCTCCAATTTGTTCATGTAGGAACTCAGAGCTATAAACTTGCCTCTGAGTACTGCCTTTGCTGTACTGAGGAGCTGGTAGTTTGTGTGCTCATTTTAGTTAAATATCATGAGCAGTAGAATTTGCTTTCTAATCTCTTCCATGACCCACTGGTGGTTCAACAGTGTGTTGTTCAGCCTCCATGTGTTACAGGATTTTCTTCGGTGCCTTTTGGTGTTGAATTTTAATTTTATTCCCTTGTAGTCTGAGAAAATGTGGGGCATAATTTCAATGTATCTGAATTTGGACAAATTTTCTTTGTGACCTAGAATGTGGTCTATTTTAGAGAAGGCTCCATGTGCTGCTGAGAAGAACATGTATTCTGATGCTGCTGGATGAAATATTCTGTAGATGTCTAAGTCTAGTTATCTATGCAGTTGTTGAGATCAGAGCTTTTTCTGTTGAGTTTTTGCTGGGTTGATCTATCCAGCAGGGATAGTGGTGTGTTAAAGTCCTCACCAATTATTGTCTTTGGATCTATGTGGGATTATAGGGAAAGTATTGATTCTTGGATAAATTTGTGTGCTCCAGAATTTGGTGAATCGATATTTAGAATTGTAATATTCTCCTGAAGGAGAGATCCTCAGATCAGGAGAGATCTGAGATTAGGATTGCAACTCCTGCCTGTATATGGGGACCATTTGCTTGGTAGATGTTATTCCAGCCTTTCACTTTCAGAATATGTTTATTTTGTGAGCAAGGTGTGTCTCTTGAAGACAGAGGATGGAAGGATCTTGCCTTTTGATCCAACTAGACAATCTATGTCGCTTAATTGGAGAGTTAAGTCCATTAATATTGAGAGTTAGGGCTGAGAGGTGTTTGTCTGTTCCTACCTTTTTATCCATTTTTTAGGGCACTGTGCCTTGATTGTTCTTGCTGTGATTGTGTAGTTCTCTGTTTGTGGGCCATTTCACTGCCAATATTCCATTCTTGTTGTTTTTTTTATGTGTAGAACGTCTTTGAGGATGTTTTGTAAAGCTGGTTTGGTAGTGATATATTGTTTCGGTTTTTCCTTGCTGTGGAAGGTTTTTATTTGTCCTGCTTTGAATGAGAGATTAGCTGGGTAAATTATTCTTGGTTGGTAGTTCTTTGTCTTTATGGCATGGCATACCTCATTTCATGCTCTCCTTGCTTTCATGGTCTCTGCTGAGATGTCTGAGATGATTCTGATTGGCTTACCTTTATAGATGATTGTTCTCTTCCCCTGGCAGCTTTAAGAATTCTTTCCTTAGTTTCTATTGATCCTGTATGGACTATAATGTGGTGGTGGGATGTCCTATTCTGGTCTGATCTATTTGGGGTTCTAAAAGCTTGTTGGATAGTATCTGGATAGGCCTGCCCTTTGTATATTTGGGAAGTTCTCTGCTAGGATTCTGTTGAATATATTTCCTAATCCATTGGCTTCCCTCTCCAGGCCTTCCTCTCTACCTATTACTCTCAAATTAGACTTTCTGATTGTATCTTGTAGTTCCTGCAATGATCTGTCATGTTTCTTGGTTTTGTTATGAATATCTGTGTGTTCTTTCTCTATGGAGTCTAAATTTTCTTCTCCCTCAGAAATTCTGTCTTCTTCCTCCATTCTGCTTTTAAGGCTTTTTACTTTGCTATTTATCTCCTTTCCTTCTTGCTGGTCTTTCTGAATGGTGGCAAGCTCTTTATTGAAGTTTTCTTTTAAGTCTTGAATAGATTGCCTTACCTCCTGGAGTTGTTTTTTAGGATTGTCTTTCCACTTCTCTAGCTGGTTTTCTATCTTTTCATTGGCCTCTTTCTCCTTTTGTTGGAGGTCCTTTCTCCTTTTATTTGTGGAGACCATAAAGTCGTCTATTAGTTTCTGGTTGGCCACGTCATGTTCTCCAACTTTTAATTCAGCAGATTTACCAGCCATGCTTTGTTGTTGTTCTTCTTCTTGTTGTTGTTCGTCGTGGGGCCTGAACTCTGGGCCTGGGCACTGTCCCTCAGCTCTTCAGCTCAAGACTAGTGCTCTACAACTCGAGCCACAGCACCACTTCCAGCCTTTTCTGCTTATGTAGTGCTGAGGAATTGAACCCAGGGCTTCATGCATGCAAGACAAGCTCTCTACCACGGAGCCACCTTCCAGGCCCCCAGCCATGCTTTTAAAATATCTTGAACATTATTCTCTAGGTCATTCTTGGACTGCTCTATAGCTTTTTTTTATGTGGAAATGGAGTTGGAGTTAGTTGATTGGCTATGTTTCTTGCGTTTTTGTGGTTAGTTCTACTCTTTTGGAGACAATAGCCACTCCAATATGACTATAGGACAGTCTTTTAGGGCAGGAGCCAACCTAGTGTTGTGTAGATGTATAGAACTTAGGGTTTCACAATTATGCATAGGTGTTTCCCTATTGAGCTCTCTTTTTCTTTACTTGGAGAAGGATGTTGTGGTTCTGGGGTAGAGATTACACATAGTTGTAGCTTGTGAGATGATCTGAGTTTGGCTGATAAGTATTCCTCACCTTAGTGTTAACAAGATGGGTCCCTTGTACTCAGTCAAAATGGAACCAAGTGCAAGTTGGGTCAGATATAAACTGGTAAGGATCAGTGGACTGAAGAAAATGGAGAAGAGAAGGGTTAGGATTGAAGAGATATAAGCTTAAGTGAAAAAGAAAAGTTGGGTGTAGTGATAGTAGAGGGGGAAGAACAGCTTAGTGGACAGGTATGTGTAGTTAAGAAGAGAATAGGGGACCTTGTTTCAGAATGTTAGAGGTAGAAAAGAATTTGAAGAAAATTATGTAAGGAAAATCTTAGAAATCTAGATGAAGGTAAGAAAAGTAATTTTATATATATGTATATTTGGGAGAATTGCTGATATTAGAAAAAGTTTTATATGGTTGATTAACCTAAGATAATTTCTGTAATTATTATGTTTACATACATAGAAGGCCTTACTTTGTGTATAGAACAGGTTAGTTCTGATAGAGTAGCAGTACAATGTGAAGAGAAATGAAGAGAAAGAAGTGAGAGGAAAAAAAATTAAAATTAGGAAAATGAAAAATGGAAGAAAGAACTAAATAATGGTGAAAAATGGAATATTTAAATAAAATAGCAAATCCTAAAAACAAAACAATAAAAAAGAAACAAAAACAGACAACGAACAATCAAAAATAAAAAATAAAAAAACTAAAAATAATCTAAAGAGTATGTTTTTCGGCTTGCTTGGGGGAGCCTGAATCTCTACATGGTTCTCTAGGCAGATTCCTGATAAAACCTTGTACGCTTTGCAATAGGCTGCTTTCTTCGTGGCTTGGTTGGATCCAGATGGACTTTTGAGAAGGGAAGGTGACTGCTACCTACAATTCCACCCTCAGGCCTGATGGCGAGGAGTGGGGGAATTGGGATTTGTAGTCTGCTATCACTGCAGGTAGCTACAGGAGGTTTAAGAACAGAGCGTAGATCTGAGTTCACTTCTGATGTGATCCCTCCTTTTTGGGTGGGGCCTTGGGTCAGAGGGCTTTGGGACCCTACAGAGAATTGCCACACTTAGGGAGTAGACCCAACTGGGGGTGTTGGCATCTGCAACAGCTGAAGGGTCTTGCTCTGCGGGGTAGGGAATCCAGTGGGTGTCAGTGGTGCTGGGCAGCAGCGGTGGTGGGTGGGGCGGCTGCCAGTGGCTGAGGGCCGTGTCAACGGTGGGCTGGCAGGGCCCCTTAGCTTGGTGGATGGTGGTGAGGTCTATGGGGATCCTGCCTGCGCTGCGGGCACAGGACCTTCCATTGACTCCGGCAGCGACTGCGGGGCACTTACCTGGTGGTGCTGATTTCTGGCGGTTGCAATGGCTGTGTTTGCTGAGTTCACTCCTCTGTAGATGCCCAGCGGGCGGGTTGGTGCCAGGGTCTGCTTGCCAACTCTGAGGTCGTCTCCGGTTTCCCTCGTGACTTTCCGCGGGTCTGGTGTTGAGCTAGCTCTTCAGTTTTTGGGTGCTTCTCTGCTTAAAATCTGCAGAAAGTGGAGCTGGGGAGCTGGCTCAGTGGTAGAGCGCTTGCCTTGCATGCACGAGGCCCTGGGTTCCATTCCTCAGCACCATATAAATAGAAAAAGCCATAAGTGGCACTGTGGCTCAAGTGGTAGAGCACCAGCCTTGAGCTGAAGAGCTGAGGGACAGCGCCCAGGCCCAGAGATCAAGTCCCACAACTGATAAAAACAAAAAAACAAAAAATCTGCATGGTGCAGAGCTGCGGGGCTGCTGCTCAGCAGGGGTCTCACTCAGTGTTTTTCTTTTTTGCTTTCCTTGTTTGCCTGTTGGGATATTCCTCTCGTAGTAGGAAAAGTCTTTAGCTATTGAGTTTGATTGGAGTGGGTCACGTGAGGTAAAGTGTGTGCAGTGACCCTAGATCTTAGTTTGGTCAGAGACATGTAGTAGGACCACCTGTGAGAGCGTCACCATATAACCAGGTCTCAATGACTTGATTTTCTTAAGCTCCATTTTAACCCTTCTCTAGCCATTTGGTTAGAAAAGATAATTTCATTTAAATAATAAATATTAAAACAATATTATGGACCGTTCTTAGGGGAGTGTGTGTGCTTGTGTGTGTGTGTGTGTGTGTGTGTGTGTGTGTGTGTGTGTGTGTGTGTGTGTGTGTTCTGGGCCTGCACAATGTCCTGGAGCTCTTTTGGTCAAGGCTAATGCTGTACCACCCTGAGCCACAGCTCTACTTGCAGTTTTTGAAGGGTTAATTAAAGAGTTTCACAGGGACTTTTCTGAATGGGATGGCTTGGAACTGAGATCTTCAGATCTCAGCTTCCTGAGTAGGTAAGATTACAGGCATGAGCCACGTGTGCCTGGCCTTAGGGAAAGTAATAAATGAAGTGAGCTGACAGCCTCAGGGAAAATTCAAATCCTGCTTTCATCCAGCTCTTCCAAGAGTCGACAAAAGCTGTCATTGTCCTATTAGGAAGATTGGGGAGAGAAAAATAGATCTCATTTTCTATTCTTGTCAGTGCAGTGCTCAGAATTCCTGAGTAGATTTTTTTTTACTTTTGCTCTCCATAGCAAATGAACCTTTCTAGCCACAGCCTTCAATATTTCACACCTGGTTTGCCTTTCTTGTCTGCTCTTATATCCTTCAGAATCCCAGCAGGAACCCTCTTCCGCATCTCAGACAAGCTCCTTGCACAATCCTATAGTCAGATTTTCTATTGACTGAACTCCCTGGGAAAAGTGTTCAACCAGTCCTGGGGGCTCTGCCAAGGAGTCCTGCATGCACTGGGGCCACATATTTTTATGTTTGCTCCAGCTTGGCAGTTTGTAAGTATCCTAACAATGGTTTTGAGAATGGGAAAGGTGATTCAACAAACAATATCAGTAGAAAGAAAATATATGAGTTATGGTAGAAAAGGTGAGGAGTGTTTTGTTTTTATACGAACTAAGAAGCTAGAGGAAATATGACTTCATGTAAATTCAGTATGAAAAGTGAAGTGGGAAACTGGCTAAACCTGTATGCTTTTATGCATTTCCATTTAGTCATATTAATCCATATTAATTTCTAATTATCCAGATTTATCATTAAATGTATCACAATTTTTCTATTATTACTCTAAACAACAACTTAACCATTTCCATTTTACAGATGGATGTATTGAGCTAATTCGATAAGGACAGACTCCCATCATGGATTAGCAGTCACTGCTGGGCTGTGACTATAAAATACGTGTAATTCACAAAATTCATAGAAGAATTTGCTCCTGCAGTTTCACGGTCCTACTGTCTGCAAAAGCTATCCAACATATGGTTTCTAAATTATATCATGAAGTAAATGATAGTTAAACAAAAGTTTATCACGTTCTCATCATAAAAGTTCTATTCATAGAACTGCATCATTTTTTGACATACAGACATTATAAAAGGAAAAGCTGAATCTCTTATAATTCTGTCATTCATGGAAAGCCACTGAATTATTTGAAAGTTCTTTTAGTCTTTTTTTAAATTAGCACAAGTGTGTGTGTATAAACACATAATTAGGAGCATAGCATACATTCTAATTTACAGTATTTTATCATTTAATGTTATGTCCTAAATATTTTCCATTGATATTAGAACTTTTACAACAGTATAATTTCAATAAATACATAATATTCCAACATAAAAATGTGTCATGTTTAACATTTTTCTATTGATAACATGGTAGAAGAAATTGGTTGCATGATCAGCAATGCATTTTCTCTTTGTGGTACAAAACAAAAAATGATGTTTTTTTTAGCACCTCTTGAAGTTAGGTAGGAGCCATAATTGACCTTCAGTCAATGGAACATAAGACAAGCATATCAAGCTCAATCATAAAAATATACCGTTCAGCATCCTTCCTTCCTTCCTTCCTTCCTTCTTTCCTTCCTTCCTTCCTTCCTTCCTTCCTTCCTTCTTTCTTTCTTCCTTTCTTTCTTCCTTTCTTTCTTTCATTCTTTCTTTCTTTCTTCTTTCTGCCTCCATTCTGCCTTTCCCTCTCTTTCTCATCCTCTCTCCATCCTCTATCCCTCTTCTACACACAAATTCTGTTTGCCTTATTAGTCATTGTAGGATTTTGACTTTTATTCTGAGAGTGATGGGAAACCATTAGATGGCTTACAATGTCATAACCTGACATATTTTAAGGAAATAATTCTGGATTCCAAGCTGGAAAGAGAGGAGGGAAAGGCTGAAAGCAGGAGGGCAATGAAGTGGCTATTGGTATAGGTGAGAGATGCTTTCTAACTTCTAGACCTGTATTGGAATCCATGAAACAAGCTTAGGATCTGAAGCTGCTTTGAAGGTAAAGACAATAGGATCTGAAAGTAGATTTTGTGTAAGGATTGGGGAGATAGAGAAATAGGATAACTTCAGTACTGACAGTTTTGGCAACTGGAAGAGTGAATTAAAGAGTGAAAACACAGGAGT